CTCTGACCTTGGGCAATAACACCCTTACTACCCTCTCTCTGACAGTCCCAGGACAGACCTGCTGGCCCCAGGCCATTGCTGGTGCTGCAGGCATGACAACATGACCCACACCACCAAGCCGCTTAGCAGATCCCACAGCACGTGAGAAGCTTGTAGGGCCCCGGCCTCCAGGACTAGGCTGGTTGTGGGCCTTCGGGTTGATTGGACATGCCCAAAAGAATGGCCTGGGCCCCTGGTGTCTAAGATGGGAGGCCTAAGAACTGCTCTTAAGGGCCTTCGGGCCAAGGGTTAACATCACTAGATCTTCCGAGTGGTATGCCTTCATTCTGGGTCCAACCCATCGATGACCTGCAGTTCTCACAGCCAGGCTGAGAGCTGGGGAGGCTATATGATCAGCCCCATCCAACACTGATGCCACAGGTTAATTAGGGGTAAAGTCAGGCTCCCTGCCGCCAGCCAATGGCTTAGGGCCCCTTTGCGTTGCTGAGCCCTTCAGAAGAGTCATGCCCTCCTCACTGACCCCTTATCTCCTTTCTCAGAATATTCCATGGGCGCCCTAACCGGTTTGGCTCAGTGAATAGAGCATCGGCCTGCGGACTCAAGGGGCCCAGGTTCGATTCCGGTCAAGGGCATATACCTTGGTTGCGGGCACATCCCCAGTAGGAGGTGTGCAGGAGGCAGCTGATCGATGTTTCTCTCTCATCGATGTTTCTGACTCTCTATCTCTCTCCCTTCCTCTCTGTAAAAAGTCAATAAAACATATTTTTTTAAAAAACAATATTCCATGGGCAGCAACATCTTCTGGGTCTTGAGTGCAATAGAAAGAAATGATGTAATTATTGCTACAAAGATTTAAAAGAGCCCCGTGTACCCACTGGCACATGTACACAGATCATCTTGAGGAAAACATCAGACTGTGTAAAAACACTGGTAGTGAGATAGGGTAAAAGAATGATGGGTTTTGAACCCTGGCCCTGTCACTTACTGGGTGCATTCGTTTCCTATGGCAACTGGGACAAATGACCCCAAACTTAGTGGCTTCAAAAACGGAAATTCATTCTCTCACAGTTCTGGTGTCCCAAAGTCCACAATCAAGTTGTCAGCAGGGACATACTCCCTCCAAAGAGTCCAGTGGCTTCTGTGGCTTTGGCCATTCCCTGGCTTGTGGCAGCATCACTCCAACCTCTGCCTCCATCTTTCCACGCTCTTCTTCTCGGTGTGTCTCTCCTCTGTGTGTCTCTTATAAGGACACATCATCAGATTTAGGAGCCCCCCAGTTAATCTAGAAGGATCTAATCTTGAGATCCTTCACTTAATTAAACTGTAAAGACCTTTTCCAAATAAAGTCACATTTATAACGTGCAGGGCTTATGACTTGGATATGCCTCATTGGAGGACACCATTCAACCCATGACACTGAGTGATCTTAGGAAGTCACAGCCTCTCTGAGTCTCAATTCCCACGTCTACAAGACAGGGACAGCAATTCCTATGTCACAAGGTTATTATGAAAATTAAAGTGAAAGCATTTGTCACATAGTAGATGCTCTATAAATACATATTTTTAACTTAGGCAGATTCCAACCCTGGGAAACTGAGTGCTCTCACTTCCGAAGCCCTTGGCCACGCATACCTCTGCCCATCTGTATCTAGGTTGATTCCTGTTCCCTGCCCTGACCTGCCTTCTCTTTCCC